CACGGCCCCGGTCGTCGCCGGTGCCCGAGCTTGCTTCCGTTCTGTCGCATGGTACTTGCGTAGAAGGTTCTTGACGACTTCTTCAAAAGGGCTTCCCATTGCACATCTATCAGTCCGGCCTTCATGCGGCTGGTGGCATCAACAAGCTCATTTCTCAATTTATTGTTTAATAGTGGCAAATTCGACAGCGGAAGTTTTCCCCAGTGCAGAAGTCAAGTAAGACCACTAAGGATGGACAGTATTTACTTTGAGAAGGAGGTTACAAAGAGTTATTCACAGTCCCCTCATGCCAGTTGTTATTATGAGTATGCGCGGGATTATTGGATTATCGTTGACAGGAGGAAATAAGTGCACACTGATTGGCTCCGGAACCTCACTTGGATAAGGAGGAGACAAGCGCGGTTGTGACCTGATTTTGAGCCGACAGCGTGGGTGGCATTCACAGCGGATGGAACAAGAGGGAGGGGGGCAAGATTGCTGGGCACGGCAATCAAAATCCTTGACAGGCGACGGCACGATGAGTCAACGCAGTGACGCCGACCACGAACTGCCGAAATCTCTTAAGTTGCAATGAGATGGGGCAGGTGCGGAGCTTCCGTGGAGACATCCTTGTCATTTGCTCTCATCCGTCACTAGCTAGTCCACAAATAGCTAGTGTTTCGCGCTACGCAAATCGGAAAGCAAATCTATAAACACCTTCAAGGATTGTAAGGCGGAAGAGATGGTCATTCCAAGGTACTTCAGCAGTCACAGCATGCAACAGATTACCAATAGACGGTTTGAGGGGGGACCTCTAAAAGACTTTGGGCGTCTGTTGGATGAATCACCACTCGAAGTGATTTGGGGGACTCTACACTGAATGGACTAGCGCAAGTCCTAGCTGATAAAATAAAAACCTGCTACAACTGAGACTCTGAGAAGAGAAGAAAACGCACATTAAAACTGGAAATGTATAAACCAACAAAAATCACACACGCACACACGGTTCGGACCGCTTGCTATGTCTCCGTGTACACTATTCGGTAAGGTGGGCTGCCTTTGTGCGAGCCCTCTCCCACATGGACATCAGGGAGCCTCGCAGTAAAGGAATGTAGAAGCAGATGATGAGTGGCACTACCGTTGAGTGGACCAGGATCAGCATCGATCCCACTCTCTGCTGCGGGCTGTTGATGATAAAGGTCGTCAGGCCGACCGCGCTGAGAAATTGATAGGTCGAATCGTAGACGGCGGTGAGCGCGT